TGAAACAACACCATAGTGAATATTGTGTTTAGTGTGTTCTTTGTTTATTCTACAAGTTAGAAAAAAGCGACTGCTGATAGTTAAAAGCATGAATCGTTTGTCGATTATTTACTCATCCTCTTCTGTGTACGTAAAAGCAACCACTTAGGTATGCATTGTAAATCAATAGTTCCTTAGAAGCAAAAAAAAAAGAGAATTATGACACGGTATGTGCATAGTGTCCGCACGAAGAACCAAATATTGGAGCGCGGTGTAAAGTAGTATTTCGATGAAAATCTTGCGAAAAAAGCATAAAATGTGGACAAAACCTGCTCTTGTTGCTGAATAAAACTGAAAATTTTTGATCGTTTAGAGGAGAGGAGGGCAAGGGTGCACTCCTCCACATGTTGAGTGTGTGAGGGTTGTTCTGGTTATTGAGCTATCTGTCCGATATGTACCCACACTCACACTCGTATGTCATCAATAAAAAAACTTGTTGAATACCCTACAAACTGTTATTTCACTTCTCATTTTCAGATAATTACGAACCTTTCTAGCATTTCCTACGGCTCTTTTGTCCTACAAAAATATGCAACAAATATTGCTTCATTCGAATTCATTTCTAAACATTCTTTATCACCAAACTCAGTCATGAAATATGTTTGTAAAAATCCAGCAAATAATCATAAGTGGAATAAAAGCTAACATGAGTAATGTTAATGACCAACCATAGATGAATGCTAGAATAATTCCAGTACCAAGATCTAATGCGAACACCAGTAGCCTGCAACAATCACGAGTATTATCTTCAATTTAAGTAGACAAGGATGGGTGTGAGTGTGGATGTGATTCTTCACTCAACTCTGACACCCACACCCGCTCTAATTGGGACAATCATATAAGAGTCAAAATAATAAAAATGATTATACTTGTTCACAGAGACACATACAATATCAAAATAAATGCATTCAGATGGAAAAAAAACATTGAACATATTTTTCAGATGCATTAGAGTAATAAGACGGTTTTTTAAGTGTTTGTGGTTTATTTTTTTGATATATTCATTGAAGAAATACAAGGTAAAGATGATGAAATAGAAGAGAAGAGAAAGGACGCGCCAAGAATGACTGATACACAATACACGAACAGATGTATATATACCCCTGGAAAGTAAAAGCTGGACATGGTATTTCGAATCTATTGACGCTCGAGAAGGACATTTTGGAAAACTTAATTATACCATTTGATAGCCCTTGGAATTCTCTATCACCTTGTCTATTTTTGTCTTCGTTTACAGTTAAACATTACCAAAATAAATTGAGTGCAATGAAGGTACCCTTATGTCCAGATTCTCACAGATTGGATTTTGTCTCCTCAACTAGTTCTCCAGCTATAGAAATATATTTCCAAAAAAGTAATTATATATTCTGATAGAGCTTGAAATTCTCTATCAGCCCATATATTTATCTATTGCCTTATATTTGTTTGCTGAAAAATAATTTGAATACAATGAACGCCTCCTCAATTGACAAGTATACAAAATCCGCATTTTTTCGTTGTTTTTTAAGTTTCTTTCGCAAATTATTTTCGTATAGGAATAACTTTTTCGAAAAAAAAATTTTACATTCTGCTAGAGCTTGAAATTCTCTATCATCCTATATATTAATATATTGTCTTGAATTTAAGTAGCGAGAAAAACTGCAGATTTTTCATACTTGTCGATTGAGGGACCGTTTATTCTATTCAAATTATTTTTCAATAAACAAATATAAGGCAATAGATAAATATATGGGCTGATAGAGAATTTCAAGCTCTATCAGAATGTATAATTACTTTTAAAAAAGATAACACCATAGTGATAAAAAAATCTGAAAGACTAATTTTGATGGCAGAGAAAAAATCCAGTCTGTGAGAATCTGGACATAAGGGTACCTTCATTGCACTCAATTTATTTTGGTAATGTTTAACTGTAAACGAAGACAAAAATAGACAGGGTGATAGAGAATTCCAAGGGCTATCAAATGGTATAATTAAGTTTTCCAAAATGTCCTTCTCAAGTGTCAATAGATTCGAAATACCATGTCCAGCTTTTACTTTCCAGGGGTATATATATATATGAGAAAGCGAGGAATAAAAAGTAGAACATAGAGAAGAAAATGATGATACAGAGAGCAATTACTCACAGCGATAAGTGTGTGAACGGTGAATCTGTCACAGTTAATAATGAATATCCACATTGTGTACAATAATTTGCATTAAATACACATTTTTGATTATTACATTTTGGACAATCACTAAAGATTCCTTGTGAAAATGAATTAATGACTTTATAATAGGATGGTGGTGGAGGGGTAGCTGGAGTAATTACATATTGAGAGTATTGTTCATTATCTAATGGTGTTGTGACTTGTTCAAGATCTGGTAAAACAACAAAAGCAGTTGAAGTTTCAGCAGGTGGATACAACCGAATTGATCTTCCATCAATTGATTCGTGTACAAAAGGTACTGTTGTTAATGCAGCTCTTTGCTGTTGAAGACGAAATACTATAGTCAACTAAGAAAAGACACTGTAGTGATTTTGAGAAACATAAGCAGTTTCGAGTTTGTAGTAAAGATTTTGAAGATAGTAAAAACATTATTCAGTAAACGCATACGTACTCTAAATATTTTGCTTGACGCTCTATTATCAAGCTTTTCTATGGTCCATTTGGTAGAAATTATTTGATCAATAGTAATAATTTCGTCAACTGCAATTGTTTGTATATCAGATTGTAGTTTTTCTAATAGTCTCGAATTTGTTTCACTATAAAATTCAGCAGAAGCAGCAAGACCAACACCGCCAGAGCAACACATAAGACAAATTATCGATCTGTGACAAAATAAGAAGAAACATTTCGTTAGTAAAATGCTATAGTTATCATAGAATTTATTCATTTGATTGAAGTTTTAGTTTGACTATAGTATAAGGATGAATCTCATACTACTTGTACAATTATACCATCAGCAATTAAGTGGTTCATATCTCTTATTTATAATCATTAACTGATTTGAAAATTTCATATAATATTCTTCTTAGTGATGCCATACGATTTTGAAATTCTAGCAATCTACTCTATACTCGCATTCTATTTATTAAAATCAGCTAGAAAAAAAACACAGGTAAATAGCACCTAACTTTAGGAAATTATCGCTTTTAATAGACAGATAAATGCAAAATGCCGACTTTATAGGTATCTCATATTTTCTTTACTCTCAAATGATTTTGTCATGTAAAAGGTTGAATAGTCCAATCAAATGGAACTCAACATAAAGTTATTATTTATCATTCAATTCGTCATCAGTACGCTAATCTAATGCAAACCTTTCTTGGGCATAACATTTTTTATCTATTACATTTATTTCAACATTCAAGCACAAATCGTTCAGTAGATCTTACCAAGCTGCATCTATTAACTCTTTGAATAACAATGTGTTGAATAAAGGACACTTCACATTTATTAATTGTTCAAGGACTCGCGAACGCGAAATGATATCGAATTGAAGTTTTCTGTATAACGTAGAAGAGAATTCGATTATATACATCTACATAAGAGTTATAATCCTAATGAGGTCACTCAGGTAATAAACCTAGTAAATTTTTTGTAATATCATTTCTATCATAAAAAGAAGAAGATAGAATAATGCTTTTCTGCAGATCCCAAAATATTTCAGGTTTCCATGTTGGAATCAAGGTTGAAGTAATTTCTGGTAATATTCAAAAGGTTGATTTTACGATACTTCTCAATCGAATTTCGATCCACATCTGTACTTCGCAAGAAGGTGATGAAAATACTTCTTTGCAATCTTGTTAGGAAGTACGAACATGGGTCGAAAATGACTTCAAAGATTTTTTTAAAGAGTTCTGATGAAAATATCCGCAATACACAGTATCCATTTTTTAAATAGAAAAACTCATAGAAATTTCATGCACCAGTTGGGCAATGGTACTCAAAAGTTCAGTATATAATTTATTTCATTTTATTCATATTACAAAGTATTTTGGACGAATTATCGTGAAACTGGATATACACAATTTTGCTATTCAATCGTCAATCTTATTTTTGAGTAAAGCTACAAGGAAATTATGTTTTTTTTAACTTTTAAAAGTGTGCTACCCAAGGGGGAAAGTGCAGGCACCCAGCACCCAGCACCCAGCACCTAGCACCCAGCACCCAGCATCTGCTCAGCACGTATACCGCATTCCACAGTGAGCATCTACGGTACCTACGGCACTTTCAGCATCTTCAACAACTATTCTATTGTCTTAAATACTTAAGATAATGAAACAATGTTTGCAGGTGCTGAAGGTGCCGTAGGTGCTCATAGTGAAATGCAGTATAGGTGCTGAACAGGTGCTGTAGGTGCTGGCAGGTGCTGTAGGTGCTGTAGGTGCTGGTAGGTGCTGGTAGGTGCCGGTAGGTACTGGTAGGTACTGGTAGGTACTGGTAGGTGCTGGTAGGTACTGGTAGGTGCTGGTAGGTGCTGTTAGGTGCTGTAGGTGCTGAGCAGGTGCTGGGTGCTAGGCGTCTGCACTTACCCCCTTGGTGCTACCAAAATATTGATTCAAATTTTTTTATATGAAAAATTTTGTTTTTTTTATTCCAATCGTACAATTGGTATGCGATTTACTTACATATGTATGTATATATAAGCAAATACTTAAAATATTTTCTTTTTCCTCATAAATACTTACACAAATATTATAAACTGAGAAGCGCCACTCAGTGTCAATGATTTCATCAGGAAAATGCCAAAAATCATGATTATGACGCATAGTATAATTGTAAATATTTTCATACCAATGCAACACAATACATTTTTTCGAGTACTGAATCTTTTTATTCGTTCATTAATTTTCGATATTATACATAAATATTGAGATTCTGAGATACAACAATTTAATGGGTTATTTGAATAGGAGGAAGAATTGCCATTAAATATGCCATGTTGATCGGATATAACTAAACAGATTTTAAAAAACAACAATTTTGGTTTATTAAACAAGAAGAAGTATTAAATTACTTGTAAAATGGATTGTTGACATGTTCGTATAAAATTCTTGATTTATTTATGATATTAATGGAAAAAGAATATTATGATATGATAGGAACAAGAAGAATTACTGCGATCCTACAACGATGATGTTTGAGAAATGTAGAACAGACAATGAGTCAAATTTGCTTCTTGAGTACTAACAAACCGAAAAAAAGAAAAGCGGTTGGAGGACATCTATGATAATATTTAGTATGAATGAAAGCAAATATCTTTTTAATACCTTATTAATTTATATATATATGTTGTGTATCACCTTCCTTGAACACTTAGTTGTACTGCAATGCTTTGTTGCCAATATAAATTGAACCTCAAAGAACTATGCTATGTATAGAAAAATACAGTATGAAGCCTTTTATATTTCAAAGACTTATTTACTCGAAGTTTATGTCACAGATTTGATTACTAATCCAGAAATAAACAAGCTACTGCTGTAGTTCTCAATTTCTACGTCTTCTTATTTTTCGCAATGCTATCTTTCGTAGACTATTCACATACTAAAAATTTTTTATCTGGTTCCTGATCGATTCATTCAGAATATATTCTATTGCAATTAATAACATATTTTTGACCTGCAATACTCTGTATATTACATTGTACTCGAATAAAAATTTTCTTTGAGACCATCTATTTAGGTCGTCTAGGTAAAAATCGAAGTTTTTGATCCCCCCGACTGTTCCTGGACGTCTAGCACAAAAAGAATTTTCAGAAAGAGAGTGCTAGATTAAATGCATGTCATAGATCAATCTAGGACTGAGTTCAATTCAAAATTGGCCTGAGTAAATCTCAGATTCACGATTGAACTACTCCAATGTCAGATCTAAGAAACAGTTTACCACCGAGCTCAAATAAATCTTCAGATGATTGCCGGATTCAAATTGTTATGTATGAACTATAATATGGCAATGGTATCTTACTTGATGCAATCATCAAACGCTGGATTAAGGAATGATCTGAACAATGATGATTCATTTTATACAGTAGGACAGCTTCTATGAAAAATTGATTCTTCATTAATCGGACTCGCACTTAGGCCGTCAAGTGATCACTGACTTCGTTGAAATATCAGTGTCTTATTGTAGTTCACCAAAAGCAAACTACCTCTGTGATGGATTCAAAGACTTGTTTGAGTTTTTCTATAAATGATTTCGTCAAACCGACATTGAACTAATTTGATTTCGGATCTCAGACTTGTTTTGAGCTATCTTGAATAGGCCGGAATTTAAAATTTATTTGTTTTGCAAATAAATTGGATTTTAAAGAGCAGAAAATAGTAAAAATATAAAAAGAAAAATGGTTCATTACCAACAGTACTCAAAAATCTGACAACGTTTACATATAACAAGTTACTCATATAGCATAATTTTTCATAATTTGAAAATGAGATTCGTATTCAACTAAATCATTCAAACAATACTGTTCCAAATAGATTAAGCTGCAAAATTTAGCAGAAATTTATGTGGAAAAAAAGAAGAAATTCATAATAAATCTCTGGATGCTCAGAAGTGCGTAACGCCCTGCTCTATGTCCACCTTTTAGCTCCCACCGCCCTCCTATTACTTGGGCATATTTTATGGATAACAGCTCAGGACTTCAATCTTTCTTCTTCTCATTAAGCCGCTGACATATATATAAATTGAAGTATTCCATCACTATAATCATTTTGCACTGTTTTTAACAGAATTAAATATCAAGAACAAGACAAAGGTATATTTCTTGAAGAATTTGCAAAATTTGAACTGCCCAAGCAGACAAGAGCTCCCAAAACCGCGTTTAAACGTACTAATCTCGGTTCTAAGTAGTTTGAATGTTTTCACGCAGCTTTTGATGTTTCCTGAATGAATGTGAAAACGCTTAAACGAAAACCGCAATCGATGTCTTTTAACATATTTTTGGGAAGTTCTTATCTGCCCGGGTGTTAATGAGAAAATTAGTTACAAATTAAAGAAAACAATCAGTGAATCAAAAAGATAAACCTTTGATACTCTGTTTATATTTTGTAGTATTTCATCACTTAGACTTTAATTATTTTTCAAAAGATTCATCGTGTAATTCTCTACAAATTAGAAGATTCAGTTTAATGAATATGACCTCATTCATTTTTAAAGCATAACCTAAATCCGTAGAGCTATCACGTTTATTTATTAATGAAACAGGTAAAAAGTGCGAAGAATGTAAATTTTTGACACTAGTTCTATGAATCTAACTAATGGCAAAAAAAATAGATGAAGTTACATTTGTTAAATAAAATATACAGATTTGTTGAGAATTACATGTTGATTCTTTTGAAAAATATATTTAGTCTAACAAGAGAAGATCTCCAAGTGTGTCTCTGGCACTTTAACAGAAATAGCATGGGTTTGCCAAGTCAAGTGCTCCAGTTTTTTTATTGCTTGATATTTACATATAGATACATACTTTTTGCAAAAAGACTTTGCCAATTTCTAGAAATCCTATGCAATGGTAGATATAAATGAACATGTGCAGTAAAAAGAGCTGATTCAAAAACTATTTATTTGTCATCGTTCATATGTCTACAAAAGAATGATTCTTTTCATGCGATAAACAAAAGCATTAATTCTTATATTTATAATCGTCGACGAAATGTAATAATAAATGCGTGTTTTATTAAATTTTCCGAATTTACTGCATGTAATATAAATATTACTTGCTCAATAAATTGACCATTAAACATGTGGTCTCAGTTTCTCTGCTGGTTCTTCCAAACATATAAAAACTGAATCAATTAACTTTTTGGTCAT